CATCAATTTTTTTAATTTAAGCAGGGCCACAATTTTTACAGTGTAGTAGCTGAGAGTCATCCCCAACATATTTTTCCAGTGCTTAAGGATAATACACAATATTAGTTGAGATCATTGGCATGCAACGTGACAGTTTGACACTTTAAGAGATGCTTTGTTATGGACATTGTGCACTGAAAGAAATGTGTTCAAGTTCAAGAGTCTTTATTATCCCTGAGGGGCAATTTGTTTCAGTCAGTAGACACATAAAACATCCATACTAGACAAGACTTTGAGACATTAAAATAAAAGGAACGTCAATGAGAAGTCTGATAATTGCAGGGATGAATGAGTTTTTCAGTCTTTGTTCTACATTTAGGCAGCACCAGAAGAAAGCAGCCTGAACTCACCATGGAGTGATGAACAGGATCTGCCAGAATCAGCCTGGCCTTGTTCACTGACCTCATCTTGTGTAGGTCAGTGAGGTTCTGTAGGTCAGTGAGGTTCTGTAGGTCAGTAGGTCTATGCCAGCAGTTTTGCTGCACATCCAGACAATCCCAGAGAGTTTGTTTCTGTTCTGACATGTCAAAGTTCAAACCAACAGAAAAAGGTGAAAGTTACAAGAGACTCAATAAAACATGAATAAAACATTTTCATAAAACTAGGATCAACATTAGAACCACAGAGCTTCTGATAAAAATACATTCTCTGGTGGGCCTTCTTGCAAAGTGAGTTCACATGGGGGTCAAAGGTCAGTTTGTCATCTAGAACAGTTCCCAGATATTTATATTGTTGCACCATCTCAACAGCTTCACCATTAATGACCACAGGAGCAGCAACTGAAGAGTCTTTTGTAAAATTAATGACCATCTCCTTTGTCTTAGAAACATTTAACTTTAAAAAGGAAGACTCACACCATTCGGTGAAGTCCCCGACCACAGGAGGGACAGGATGACAGTCATCAGCAAACTTTAAAATGTGACTCTGTGGGAACCGGATGTGGGAATCGTTTGTTAATAAAATGAATTAAAATGAATGAATGTGCTGATAGTATCCACAATGTTTCTGGATTGTGAAGTGTGGAGATAATAGACAGAATCCTGTTTTTTGCTGTACAGGAACAAGATGTGACTGTTTATGTCCTTCGGGCTACACGGGGCCAAGCTGTGAGATCACTTCCAGGCCGAACGGTCAGCACACCTTTTCACAGTGACACCACATTTACCCACATGCTCTGACCCTCTGAGGCTCTGACGTGACAAGCACTGCCATGCTTTGTTGCAGCTGTGGCTGTGGATGGCAGCTGGAGTTGTTGGGGCGCGTGGTCATCCTGCAGCGGGGGCAGAATGGTGCGGCGTCGACAGTGTAACAACCCAGCGCCCAGTAGAGAAGGCCTGGCCTGCAGCGGACTGGAACAGGAGTCTACCGACTGTTTCTGAAGGCTCCAACATCAAAGATTGAATAAAAATCTGTCTTTGTGCATGCCTCAACTACCTTGTCATGTTTGATTTTATAAAACACTCAAGTGGATCTGATTTAGACACTGAGCTAAATTCAGCTGCTGTTACTCAGATATAACCTGAAGAAACCTGAAGTGACACTCTTTAAACAAATCAGAAGTATTTATATTTATTTCTTGTTAAACAGCTTCTACAAGAGAACGTTTGTCATCACATCACCACATGTAAGCTTGTAGAAAACACCTGTCTTTAGCAGTTCTGGTTCTGAGTGGATGAGCCCAGGCAGGAAGCTCCGCCCCCTTCAGGTGCAGGATTATTACATACTCTGGTCCTGCTCCTCCTCCCCGAGACACAGGAAGACCACGACCCCCAGCAGGACCACGAACCGTCTGTCCTGGTGTCTGTCGAGTAAATTCAAATGTTTCGGGCTGATTAAACTTTATTTAGAGCTGTGCATGATGTCACTTCCTGGTATTAAACTGTAACTGATGGATACTTTTATACTTTAATCACAATACATTTTTACCTCAAACAAAGAAACACACTGCACATAAAATAAGTTGTTTTATGGGATAGTTTGGATCTTTTAAAGTGGTTTTGTGAAAAAGGCTACTCATATCTTACCTGTTGGAGATGACTCTTAAGAGAAAATCATTTAAAATCTGACAGAACTGATGAGTTAATGGCTAGTCAGAGTGGGGCCAAGACAAAGTCTGATTGCTGCTGGGGTAAAACAAATCTAGGCTCAAAAGTTCTTGTGACTGTAATGAGATGAACTTTACCAGCAGGCTGCACAGGAAGTGCTACAGCTAAATGCTGCTGGTTGTTTGATGATCTCGTAAATAACTGCAGAATTGACATGAATATTGACGACAAGATATAAAGATTTATAAAACATGAAATTAGTTAAGTTTAGGCCTCTTTCATCAAATTGAACATCACTGTATTTGTTATTGATTTTACACAAAATGTTTAGAGAAAACATGATTTAAAATGGTTTAAATCGTATTTATATGATACATTCCAGTTTTTAAATGTAAATAATGAATCTTGTTCTTACACCAGAGTTAGTCATGGAGTTCCTCAGGGTTCAGTGCTTGGAACAATACTCTTTACCTTATATACGCTTCCATTAGGTAATGTTATTAAACAGCATTGGACAAATTTTTATTGTTATACTGATGATGCATAGTTATATTTGTCCATGAAGCACAATGAGTCCAGTCAGCTACTTAGACTACAAGCATAGTCTTTAAAAAAAAATTATTTAACCTTTATTTTATCAGGATAAAAATAAAACCTCATTGAGATTAAAAACCGCTTTTTCAAGGGAGACCTGGCCAAAAAATTACACAGTTAAAAGAAAATGTCAAGCTATAAAAAATAGCCTGATGCATGCTCAAAAGTACCTATAAAAAATAGGTACTATCAAACAAGCTAGCTATAAAATCAGGTAGATGTCACTGAATTGGCCACAATAACTTTTAGTTTGGATGTAAAAGCACTGAGTGAGATGAATTCGGTCAATCTCAGAGTTTTTTGTAGCAAGTTCCAAGAAGAGGGAGCAGAGTGAATGAAAGCTTTTTTACCCAAAGGGACAGAAAGAAGCAGCAAATCGAATGAGCGAAAAGTATAAGAGTCAACATTTCTCAGTGCAATTGCAGTCCAAATAAAAGCCGGCAGGAGTCCAAGCAGTGCCTTGTAAATAAAAGTTAACCAATGGGAGTTCCTTCGGGCAGCCAGACCAGGCCATCCCACTTGTGAATATAAATCACAATGGTGTGTTGACATTTTGCAGTTATGTCTTAAAGACATAAAAGCCTGGATGACCCTTAATTTTCTTCCTTTAAACTTAGACAACATAGAGGTCATTGTTTTTTGGACCTGAGCATTTTAGGAATATATTTTTCAGTCTTTCTCCCTCCTTAGATGGCATTAATCTGGCCTCCAGCTCCAATGTTAAAAATCTTGGTGTCATTTTTGATCAGGACATGTCTTTTATCCCCCCACATTAAAAATGTTACTAGAACAGTCTTCTTCCACCTGCGTAAATCACTAAAATTAGAAACATCTTATCTAAAAATGATGCAGAAAAACTGGTCCATGCATTTGTCAAATCTAGACTGGACTATTGCAATGGTTTATTATCTGGGTGTCCAAATACTTCTTTAAAACATCTTCAGTTGATCCAAAATGCTGCTGCCAGAGTCTTAACTGGAGTTAGTAGGAGAGATCATATTTCTCCAGTTTTAGTTTCTCTCCATTGGCTCCCTGTCAAATCCAGAATTTAATTCAAAATCTTACTTCTAACCTACAAAACTCTCAACAACCTGGATCCATCTTATATTACAGATCTTATTGTTCCATATTTTCCTAACAGAGCACTTCACTCTCAGACTGCAGGTTTACTTATGGTTCCTAGAGTTTCCAAAAGCAGAATGGGAGGCAGATCCTTCAGTTATCAGGCTCCTCTCTTGTGGAACCAACTTCCAGTTTCTGTCTGTGAGGCTGACACGTTGTCCAGCTTAAAGACTGGGCTTAAGACTTTCCTTTTTGAGTTAGTCTGCTTGGTTTCCTGACCTACCGGTATTCTTTTTGCTGCTATAACCTTAGACTACTGGAGGACAAATTGACCTCATTTCAACAAATGAATAGTTTGTATTTGTAGTTATTCTTTCTTGTACAGTGCCCTGAGACAACTTCTGTTGTTATTTGGCACTAAATAAACTGAATTGAATTAATATAGATTTTTTTCAGTGGATTACATCGTTCCAGGCAGCATGGTGGCACAGTTGGTAGTGCTGCTGCCTCTCAGCGAAAATGTCACCCTTGTTCAAATCCTGGCCAGGGGTCCTTTCTGGATGGAGTTTGCATGTTCTCTCCATGCATATGTGGGTTTCCTCAAGGTACTCCAGTTTTCTCTCACAGACCAAAAACATGAATGTTAGACTGATTGGTAACTCTAAATTTTCATTCAACCTTTATTTATACAGGTAAATCCCATTGAGCCTCGAGGACTCATTTACAAGAGAGACCTGATTTCAACAAAGAATGATGACAACAATGGACAACAGCGACAACAATAGACAGTTATAAAAAGACATACAGATTTATTTATTTTTAATAAATAGGATGGCTAAAAAAAGAAAAGTAACAAAGTACAGCTAGATTCTAAGGCAAATGTAGAAAACTAAAAACAGGAACATGTCTGCATTGGTCCCTGCCAGGTGTCCAACAGATTCTTAAAGCCACTTAGAGAGGTCAAGGTCGAGAGCTTCAAATCTTTTTGCAAGATATTCCAGGAAACAGGAGCAGAGTAGGAGAAGACCCTTTTGCCAAGTTCAGTCTGCACTGAGGGAACACTGCAGGTAATAATGTCCTGCGAGCGCACGCTGTAACTGCACTCACATAGAGACATGTAGGAGGAGACGTATGAAGGCAGCAGACCAAGAAGTGATTTAAAGATGAAAATATACCAGTGAGAGAGTCTGCATGAAGTTAATGATGTCCAG